GTGTGTGTATGTGTGGGAGTGTGTGTGTGTTTGTGTGTGTGTGTGTGTGTTGTGTGGTGTGTGTGTGTGTGTGTATGTGTGTGTGTGTGTGTTGCGTGAGGTCGTGTGTTTTGTGTGTGTGTGTGTGTGTGTGTGGTTTGGTGGTGTGTGTAGTTCTCATTGTGTGTGTGTGTGTGTGGTGTGTTTTTGTGTGTGCTTAGTGTTCGGTCGTCGCTCCTGTGTGTGTGTGTGTTGTTGTGTGTATGTGTGTTGTGTGTGTGTGGTGTGTGTGCGTGTGTATGTGTGTGTGTGTGTACTCACCTAGTTGAGGTTGCAGGGGTCGATTCCGAGCTCCTGTGTATGGTGTGTTGTGTGTGTGTGTGTGTGTGTGTGTGTGTGTGTGTGTGTGTTGTGTGTGTGTGGTGTGTATGTTGTGTTGTGTTCACATTGTGAGTGTATCTTGTGTGTGTGTGTGTGTGTGTGTTTGTTGTGTGTGTGTTGTGGTATGTGTGTTGTATGTGTGTGTGGTGTATGTTGTGTGTGTGTGTTGTGTGTGTGTGTGTGTTGTGTGTGTATGTGTGTGTGTGTGTGTGTGTGTGTGTGTTGATGTGTGTGTGTGTGTGTGTGTGTGTTGTGTGTGTGTGTGTGTGTGTGGGACGCTACTGTGTGCGTGGGGGGGGGTCGACTCTCTATGTATATGTTTAATGGACGTTGTAGTTGTAGTAGTAGTTATTAGTTGTCAGAGGCACTTATCGATAGACACTTGGTCTTTTTTTCGTGTGAGATCGTGTACATGATGTCATTATTCTCAACACTTGACTTACGTATTCCTTGTGCACCATAGGTAACATGTAACTCACTTGTCTTAACAGCGAGAAAGATCTGGGTTCGAGTTCCGGGCGAAGAGAGATGCATGAGTCACCTAAGCCTAGTATGAGCCTACATTTCTAATGCTTGTCATGTCCCCAGACCCAGCCTTTCCCTCTCATATATATATTAAATCTGCTAATCTAGATCATGTGTCCCTCGCCCGGCTCGAAGCTTTATCGATGCAATCTACGTATATCACATATTAAATAACTGGTGCAGAGTTTTTTTTAGATTTCCTTAATATATAAATGGGTTTCACCAATAGCATCCGAGCAGATATAACGACTTCAAAGAAAAAAGTTATTAGGATTTCTCATTTAGAATACTTAAATATTTCACTTCTGCCACCGTGTCTTTCATAAATACGTTGTCAATTATATCCTTTGCACACCCACAAAGTTTGTTGTTCGTTACGAATTACCTTATTTCTAAATTCATCTATCATCATACGTTGTAAAACATAATGTTTGAGTGAGTGAACACGAGGCATCCGACATATTTTACACTCCTTCTCTTGCTCTCTAACACTGCCGCCATATTCCTAGTAATATTTGTATATAGAATGGGTTTTCCCAGGTTCTCTTTACTCTCCCGTACGTAAAACATGAAGTTTATGATACCTGTACATAGTGATTTAACCTGTTACTTACTAGTATCTTTTGCGAACTACAGAGTCTGTCATCTATATACGTATTCAGTAATAGGGAATGCAACTGGAAGAGAACCGTCGATAGCTCCTAGGGATGGTAGTGTCACTTATGGGATAACTGAAGATCTTACCGAATTCTTTGTCCTACATAATTACCTGGTAGTGTTGACCAGGAGACATCCCAAGTAAACGGCAGTAAGTTCTCAACAGCCGTCTTCTTAAAGAGAGACAAATGCATTCATGTCTATCTCACTTTCGTCATCTATGCAATATGTTAGAAAGAATAGTACTGATACACTGATATATAAAATAGAAGACAAATTAGACTCCTATTTAGAGTTTCATGAAATGTACAGACATTGCACTGCAACACGACTTTTTATAAACAAATAATTAAATATGGGTTTCTACCTTTGATAATTAAAAAGACTCCTTCGACAAGTCCAAAATATAGTAATAATACTAGATGAATTAGTAGGGATAAGAGTTAAGGGCCCATTATTAATGTGAATTAAGGTTTGTATAAAGGGTAGAACAAAAGTATTGTTTTATGGGAAGATGTTCAAAGGTGCAAAATATGAAATTAGTTAGAGAAAGTATCACAACCCAGTGAGATGCCCTCAGCTCTGTCCTCTTTAATATTGTAATGAACACAGTAGTCAAAATGAACTATGCTAATAGTGTTGTTCATGGGGGATAATGCTGACGATATATTGATTAAATCTCCGTGTTACGACAAAAAACTTGATTCAAAGTTCAGAGAAGTAGAATTTATATTATCAGTGGTGAAAACAAAAGCATTCTTGCATATTAAGAGAAACAGGAGTTTTAGATAGCAGAGCAAGATGTTGTGTACCTTATTACCGGTATATAAGTGTATATGTATGAAAAGAAACAGGAAAGAGAAGACGATTGCTGAAAAAGTACTACATAAATGCAAAAGAAATTTTATTATACATAATTTTTTTCTACTCGTAAATCCATTTGGTGGCCATGGGGGCCACCAGTCCCCATGGGTTCGATTCCCGGCGAAGGGGTGGAAACATTTGACGTTTTTCCTTACACACGTTGTCTATATTCACCTATCAGTAAAATGAGTACCTGGGTGTTAGTGGACTGGTGTGGGTCGCATCCTGGGACAAAACTGACCTAATCTGCCAAAAATGCTTAGCATAACAAGCGGCTTTCTATATAGTAGCATGTCACTGATGTCAGCTAGGACTGTATACCTTGTATATGTACTTGTAGTAAACAAAGATATTATTATTATTATTATTATTATTATTATTATTATTATTATTATTATTATTATATATTATTATCATGAATATTTGACAAACTCAGACTGATTTAGTGACCCTTCAATGGGCAACACAGTTATATTCTTAGTGTCAGATTGTTCAGTTTAAACGCTAGATATATTACAAATAATATTTAAAATGTAATAGTGTTAGGAAATAATAAAATATTAATAAAAGTTCAGGTGGAAACCATGTCATCTTAACGTGGCAGGGAATGAGAGGCTGATGACTTGGCACAAATAGAAACACAAGAAAATACAAAAAACAAGTCTGGAGAAACACCGCAACGAATTACGAGGAAAATTTAAAATAAGAATCAAGATGACGAGTTCAGTGAGAGATGTGTCGAGTGAACAGCGTACAGTGACTCTACTGCACACGCCTGAACACTGTAAGCACGAAGTAATTAAGATTGACAGTAATTTACAAAAATATCCAGGATTCGCTGCAGTTAGATAATTAGTTAATGGTAATTTGTAAATGTAGTGATGCTTGCAGATACGTACTGTTAATTGTGAAGGCAGTGATTCTTGTAAATACTTAGATTTTAAAAGCAGTCATCCTTGCAGTTGAGAGTATCGGGGGTTCGATCCCCAGCAGTCGCACCATTGTTATTTGCTTAAAAATCCACTCGTTCGTGGAATAATTATTATATATATATAATATATATATATATATATATATATATATATATATATATATATATATATATATATACATATGGGTAAAAGGAAAAAAAAAAGTTCCTCCGTAAGCCATGCGTGTCATAAGAGGTGACTAAAATGCCGGGATCAAGGAGCTAGTAACCCTTTTTCCTGCATAAATTGCTAAATTTAAAAATAGAAACTTCCGTTTTTCTTTTTGAGTCACCCCACCTCGGTGGGATACCGCTGGATTGTTGAAAGAATATATAGACCGTAGCTAATGATCTAAAGCATATTACTCATTTATTAAACTCCAGCTATACAGTGGGTAAAAATATTTACATTAGTAGTTATAAAACAAGTTAACAGTGTTTATGATGATAATATTATATGCAAAAGAGCTGAGAGAGGCAGCGTTCTCTATATTTGGGACAGACATGTATGCATAAGGACGAGGTCCGCCATTTTACTAGAGCACCGTCACCTTCAACTGTAAACACACCACCACCAGTATTGTGAAACTTTTTCCTGGTGTTATGAAACACTGGGTGCCTACATTAACATTTAATACCACACAATACAAACAAATATGTATACCTGGAGGTTATTTCGGGGGTCAACGCCCCCGTGGTCCAGTCCATGACCAGGCCTGATGTGTGTATTACAGTACGTGTAGTATGCGCAGTCATATCCAGTTTCTCGCAGATGTGTGCTTATATGCATATAAGAGATATGTATGTAAGATATGTGATATGGGTACATGGTACGGTGTTATTGTTTGGGTGAGTGACGCATGTACGCACGCACGTACGCTGCTGCACCCACTCTCTGATTGGTCAACCGCGCCGCTATACGCCAGATGTACGACACTTCCAGCCCTACACTATGTACATTGCTAGTAATTAAGTTTCTTTACGTACAGGTACACACAGTTACACAAATTATCATACATAAGTAACATGTGTAAATTGCCAAAGATAACCCCAAAAAAGGTCAAAGTGACTTTGGTGTCCTTGATATTATTTTCATTGATGTCCTTGATCTTATTTCCATTGGTGTCCTTGATCTTATTTCCATTGGTGTCCTTGATCTTATTTCCATTGGTGTCCTTGATCTTATTTCCATTGGTGCCCTAGGCCCTAGGGATCGTCCAGCGTCTGGGATACAGCAGATAATATGGTTTGATACCAGGAAGTACAGCCTAGCTGCAGGTCCTTGGATCAAGAGCCAGTATAATGGTATTCTTAGGTCTAAACATAGAGAGGTAATAACTACACATGGATATCTGTAGTTCACATTGTGATATTTAATTCTTGAAATGAATTTCTAGGGGGCTTAATAATTCCGATCTATTGCCAAGTTTCTTGAAGATAGGCCTCTGAGTCGTGGAAAAAAATGTTTGAAGAATAACAATAATGCTTCAGTGTCTATCTTAACAGTATTTATAAATGAGAAAGATGATAACGTGAGAATATATATGAGGCGCTTCATGAGTGAGCAACTTGACGAAGTTTATATAAACAGACGGCAACTGCCCAGCCATTCAGTAATGGTGTAACAGTTGGTGGAGGCTGCACGTCGCTCCCGTCTCTCCTGTCTAACAGGGAGTCTTCCCAGTGATCGTGAAAGTTTAATGATTCTACAAGGGAAATAGATACATCATTGTTTGTGAAACTCATACCATAAGTTGTGTTCATCATTACCAAAGTGGAATCTGGTAGTGGAGAGTCTTGCAGTGGTTATATAGTGTAGGATCACATGGCTGCTGTGTTAAGGCGTATTTGAAGTCTACTGGCGTAGTAGCCTTCAAGTGTACCACCAGCATCACCTACCTTCCCTCCTGACACCTGACGACCTTCATTATGTGCTGAACAGGTGAGCTACTCACAACTAAAATTAGTAACAAAGACATACGTACACAAAATGTGACATATCTTGGAACTTTCGTCCAAAAAGTTTCTTAAACGTAAAATTATCCAGGTAGGCATTATGTGCACAAGGAAATAAAGATATGGGAAAGAATCTAACAATAGGGAAAGTGATGGCTCTATTGACCTAGCTAAGTGGGTGGAATCTTTATTTATTTACAATCATATGTACTGTTGCAACCTGATACACACGAGTTATGAATGAATAATGAGAACAGTTCTTCAGAATATAAACTCCGGAGGGTAAATGAACTAGAATAACCAGTGAAGGTTATTTCCCTTGGCTGTGTTCAAGGTGCTCCTTCATGGTGCGACCCTTGTCTGTCGACTACCTCCTGGGTATTCACAGTATTTACTGCTAGGTAACAGTGACAGCAGGTGTAGGTAGGTATATGGTTTGTCAGGAAACAGGACAAGTGTTTCCTGACGTCAGTCTTAGTCATATGGATGACCCGTAGCTGGAGCTTTTGGTCATCTGACCGAGGCCTTCGCTGTATGACCCTGGTAGGTTTAGCGCTTCCTTTTGATTATAATAATAATAATAATGACCGAGGCCTTCCGCTGGCTTACCCCTCCACCCCCTTTATAAATTATGGTTATGATTATAATAATTTCTTCTGGACAGCAGGTGTTGAAAGACCTGTCCATATGTAACGCTTCTTAAGGTCCAGCCTGGGTTGTACCATGATTGTATGGAAATAAAGACAGCTCACAGCAGCGCATGTCTTACTAACCTACTTTATTAGTCGCCATTGTATATTATACAGTTGTTATAATGATAAAATTGTATGTAGCTTGATAGATTCCATTTAATTTGAAGAATAAGAAAGGTTGGCCAGAGAGTAAGCCTATAGCGAAAGTGGATGTATTGAGAACTTTGGAATTTAAACATTAATTATATTTTGAAAATTATGTCATACATACCTAACATTCGTGTTCTAAGATTGTATTTAAACATTATGATACGTATCATTATATTAACAGTATGCATTATCAACATTTAGATGACTAGCACATTTGTGCAACCTTTGTGTATTTTTATTACCGAAAAAATTTCTACACTTAAGGGAGGTACCTAAAACTTCGTTTTAGGAAAAATCCAGAGATTTCTCTCAGAGCTGTTTATTTTCTTCCCCTACCACCCCTTTATATATATTTATTCGTTCAATAATAACCCACATGGAGACAGAAACACAGAAGATTAATTGGTCTGTATATTTCGATCCCCTTTTTGTGTATCTGTCTATGTGTAGGTTATTATTGAGCATTGACAAGTGTTCATTACACTTTAATTATCCATATATTTATCTGTTGATTTTATAAAATCTTCATTTAAATGATACATGGAACATACGTTTACATTTTAATGAGTAAAGGTTTTGAGGAGTTTACATTTATGTAATAATTGGAAATAAGTCACTTTCTCTGACTTCTTTTTTTTTTTTGGGGGGGGGGGATTAAACTAGGTAATTTACACACGTTACTGTGTATTATAATTTGTGTAACTGTATTTACGTGTATCTGTACCTAAAGAAACTTACTTGCTTACACAAATTTAACTTCTGGTAAACCTCGAACTTCTCAGTCGTTGGAGGGGAACCCAAACGCAGCTGTCTTCAATATATTTCTCACCTCTGTATTCGACTGAAGAAACCTGTTGCGCAGGCGAAATAGTTTCGGCAATAAAGATACTGATACTCATTTGTTGTACGTGTGTCTTATTGATCCATAAATGATTTGGGATCGATACTCGTGCACACCATCTAGTTTGTTCAGCATGCTGGGATTGTGAAATACGTGTAGTAATAATGGTAGAATTAACGACAGAATGTTAGATAAATGGGCACACAGATGCAACTAATGTGGCAACAGGTTTAGTGCTTCTCACGAGTATCGGTATCGGGTAATTTTGAAGGCATCGTCATCGGTATCGACCATAAATTGAGTGCTAGTATCGGTGTCCTTATCTTTGGTATTACCTAATTTTGGTGGTATCGATATCGGCAAAAAGTTTGACATCGTACAAATAATGATCTTCCTTGAGTGAAACTCCTGATCCCAGGCAAGGCCTCCAAGAGATAATTTTTGCAAGGCCGTAGCAAAATCGCTTTGGGGCCATCCCTGGGGGACAGACTGAGGGGCCCCCAATCTAAGGGAATTTTAAATAATTATTTTTTATAAATAAACTTAAAATAGTTGAAATTACCAAAAAAAAAAAAATCAAATGAAAAAAAATCAAAATAAAACGTCTGTGGCTAAGGTGCCCTTTCAGAAATTCACAGCCGGGCCCCGGAAAATGTACCGGCTTAATCCCCCTCTCAGGCCCCGTTCCCAGGTACTATAACCCTCAAAGATTTAGCGCTTCCTCGCTGTATAGCCCCTATTAATTTAAAAGTGGAAATTCTGGAGATCACTGTATGTATAGCATGACTAGAATGCAGAGAATGAAGAATAAATACCTTAGAGGAGGACGTGGCGATGTGAAGGGAAGGAAACAGCTAAGATGATTTGACCGTGTAGAAATATAACCCTGGGGACAGCAGAAATATTCTTCAGTGTAATACAGAGGAATATAACACTGGGGACAGCAGAAATATTCTTCAGTGTAATACAGAGGAATATAACACTGGGGACAGTAGAAGTATTCTTCAGTGTAATAAGAGGAATATCATGGGACAGCAGAATATTCTTCGTGGTATACGAGGATAAACTGGGACAAGATATTCTTCAGTGTAATACAGAGGAATATAACACTGGGGACAGTAGAAGTATTCTTCAGTGTAATACAGAGGAATATAACACTGGGGACAGTAGAAGTATTCTTCAGTGTAATACAGAGGAATATAACACTGGGGACAGCAGAAATATTCTTCAGTGTAATACAGAGGAATATAACACTGGGGACAGCAGAAATATTCTTCAGTGTAATACAGAGGAATATAACACTGGGGACAGCAGAAATATTCTTCAGTGTAATACAGAGGAAATAAACACTGGGGACAGTAGAAAGTATTCTTCAGTGTAATACAGAGGAATATAACACTGGGGACAGTAGAAGTATTTTCGGTGTAATACAGAGGAATATAACACTGGGGACAGTAGAAATATTCTTCAGTGTAATACAGAGGAATATAACACTGGGGACAGTAGAAGTATTCTTCAGTGTAATACAGAGGAATAAAACACTGGGGACAGTAGAAGTATTCTTCAGTGTAATACAGAGGAATATAACACTGGGGACAGTAGAAGTATTCTTCAGTGTAATACAGAGGAATAAAACACTGGGGACAGTAGAAGTATTCTTCAGTGTAATACAGAGGAATATAACACTGGGGACAGTAGGAGTATTCTTCAGTGTAATACAGAGGAATATAACACTGGGGACAGTAGGAGTATTCTTCAGTGTAATACAGAGGAATATAACACTGGGGACAGTAGAAGTATTCTTCAGTGTAATACAGAGGAATATAACACTGGGGACAGTAGGAGTATTCTTCAGTGTAATACAGAGGAATATAACACTGGGGACAGTAGAATATTCTTCAGTGTAATAAGAGGAATATAACACTGGGGACAGTAGAGTATTCTTCAGTGTAATAGAGAGGAATATAACACTGGGGACAGTAGTATTCTTCAGTGTAATACAGAGGAATATAACACTGGGAACAGTAGGAGTATTCTTCAGTGTAATACAGGAGAATATAACATTGGGGACAGTAGGAGTATTCTTCGTGTAATACAGGAGAATATAACATGGGGACAGTAGAGTATTCTTCGTGTAATACAGGAGAATATAACATTGGGGACAGTAGAGTATTCTTCAGTGTAATACAGAGGAATATAACACTGGGGACAGTAAGTATTCTTCAGTGTAATACAGAGAGAATATAACACTGGGGACAGTAGAAGTATTCTTCAGTGTAATACAGGAGAATAAACATTGGGGACAGTAGAGTATTCTTCAGTGTAATACAGAGAAATAAACACTGGGGACAGTAGAGTATTCTTCAGTGTAATACAGAGGAATATAACATGGGGACAGTAGAAGTATTCTTCAGTGTAATACAGAGAATAAAACACTTGGGGACAGTAGAAGTATTTTCAGTGTAATACGAGGAATATAACACTGGGGACAGTAAAGTATTCTTCAGTGTAATACAGAGGAATATAACATGGGGACAGTAGAAGTATGTCTCCATGTATACAGGATAAAAACTGTTGGACAGTGAGTATCTTCAGTAATACAAGCAATATAAACGGGAGTTGAGTATTCCTATGTAATACAGAGGTAAAAATAGGGGTAGATAGTCCTTCGTGTAATGAAGAATATACACTTGGGCAACAGTTAGAGATCTCAGTGTAATACGGGATAACACTGGGCAGTCAGGAGGAGTTTTCAGTGTCAATCCCAAGAGATATAACATAGTTAAAGTATTCCAGGTAATACAGAGATTAAATACAAGAGGGTTCTTCAGTGTAATACGGAGATTTAATTCAGTAAATATTATTCATGTAACAGAGAATGTACACCCGTGGGACAGTAGAAGTAGTTCTTCATGGAATACAGAGGATATAACACTGTAATAGGATTCAGTACAGGACTATATAACATGGAGCAGTAGATATTTACGTAATCGAGAATATACCTGTGTCAGTAGAATATTAGTTTCCAGAATATAAAGGGGACTTATATTTTCATATAATACAGAGATTTTGGACAGTAGGTATGTACTATCATCAAATTGTTGATACAGTGTACCGTGTACAGTGTACCATCTATAAACGGTATTGTGTATCGCCTATAATAAAGGAAGAATAGGGTAGCCCCAGTCCCTTGGATGAAGATGCTGCTTTGGGCAACATTAGGCCCCTCCTTGAAGGGCCTCCAGTCAGGAGCGAGTGTTGGTCAATCCCATAATGATGATAATAGTTAAGAACATATATAAT